TATATATATATATATATATATATGCAGCTTAACTATAGCATGGTCAAGTGAAACACGGGACGATAAAAGCTCAAAGATCCTGGGAAACAATTGCCAGATTCTTGCTGTGACAGAAATTAGTTCCTGTACTGAACAAAGGAAAGTATAACCTTCTCTTTAAAGGTCACTTGCTGCTGTTATTTGACTTAAACTCTCTCTGACCCATATGCTGTAGCATATTATTTATTATTTCTGATTTCTCCCCCATTTTTGCTGAGATATATGTGCTTGTTGTCCTTGGATCTCAATGCACCTCTGACCTTGCAAGCAACTCATTTGCACTGCAGCCAAGGCAGAGCCTTTTTGACTTCACAAGGGCTCTGCTTGTGTTTAGGGGTTTGTTCCTTCAGGGCTGTGCTTCCTGCAGTGGGGGAAAGCACCAGGAGAGTGTGTGTGCAGCTGGCATAGGGAAAGAGCCCCATGATGGAGCAGGGCTTGATTCTGGGGAGTGAGGAGTGTGCAGGGCTGGGCTTTTCACGTGCTTCTTTCAAAGGAGATGCATTTTGCACTTTCTGCACAGTTCTGAACACATGGAATTCTGGAGAATTGTCGGCCAGAGGTGTATGGAATGACAAGCTGCTCAGATTTTGGGGACACCCACAGAACCATGCATGCTGTGGCTATGTGCATGTTTACAGCCAGGTAAAGCAGCCCTCCAGCCTGGCCAGAGCTGCCCTCCCTGGAATTGGTGCTGTGGGGCTGCTCCGTGGGTGCAGGGCCCTGGGAGCTGCTCTGGCCGCTGCTTTCAGGCTGGGATTTCTCTCCAGAGTAGCAGGGAGTAATGTTTGTTCTCACTTCCCACGGAAATGAGCTGCCAGCTCTGAATTCCCCGTGGTGCACAGGGTTCACCATCTCATATTCCTCCGTCTCCTCCCTCCTTTCTTCCCCCAGCCCATGCATAAGTTACTCAGTAGAAACACAGACCTGTCCCATTCTGTTCACACCACACCTGCCCTGTCTGGAGCAGGTACCTGGCCAGCCTCAGTGGCTCCAGCAGGAATGCTCCCACCCCTCTGCCTCTTGCTGCCACCTCTGTTGGGTGACTGTCCCCCAGGGCCAGGCACAGAGCCTGGAAAGCCCCTGCAGGGTGTGGGATGGTTCCTCTGGGCATGCTGCATGATTTAGTGTGGGCTCTGTGCCCCGTGCTGCTTCAGTTGCTGCTTTGCAGCAAAGTGGAGACAGGAGTGAAACATTAGCAAAATGTTTTATTATTGATGTATCACCATAGTTTGGCTCTCTTTGCATTTTGGCTCGTGCCACTGCAATGTAAGCACCATTTTCACTTAGTAGAGAGTAAAACATTTTTTATATATATATATATATATAAATAAATATATTTATACATTTATATATTTATATTTATAGATAATTTATTTATATTTTATATAAAATATCTTTAAATATATATTTAAATATATATATATTATGTATATGTATTACATACAATATATGTAATATATATTTCATTTTAACATATTTATATATATTATATATGTATTATTTATATCTTATATATTTAAATTTATTTTATATTTATATATAGAATATATTTTTATATTATATATATTTATATAAATAATATGTATATTAAATATATATAAAAATATATTATATATTTAAAGGTACATATATATATGTGTGTGTGTGTGTGTGTATATATATATTTATATATTTTTATATATATATATATATATATATATATATATATGTCATAGGTGACAATAGCAGAATTCACAGAGAAGGAATTGTGAGGACAGCATGAGAAAACGAACCAAGGCTGTAAATTTGCTGGTAACTCACTGGCCAGGCTGAACATCTTTCATTTCTTAAAGCTGTGGGAGATTTCCCAAGGGTTTTCTTGTTCCCAGAGTAGAAACACTGGCTACCAATATAAAGACTTCCTAAAAAAATAAGTGGGTGTCACAGCATTTAGAACTATTGCTCCAGTACAGTGCTGGATTTTTGGAAAAGTAATCCTTTTGGAGAGGTGGGAACATTAAATGTGGGAGGGAAAGGAGGAGCTGGGAAGAGGGTTGTGGAAAGTGCCACCCTGAGGAGAGGTGGAGCAGCACCTTCCCTGCACACCTGGTCTGGGCAGAGACAGGTTTGTGTTGTGTCAGCCAGTGCAGAACCTTCTGTAAATCACCTGTGGCCTGGGCTGAACAGGATTCCAATTTTGCACACTAACTGAGAATAACAGGACAAGAATTAATTCCAGCTCATTGTAGTATGACGAAAATAATTTTCTCTTGGCAGGTGTAGATCCAGATATTTTGTCTGAATCTGGCCATACCCTTTTGATGGTGTCCCCAAAAGGTGTGGGGTCCATGTGCTGCACAGCCGCCTGTCAGAACACCTGGGGTCAAGTGCAAAACAGCACAGCTTCTCACACGTAATGCTCATCTGTTCCTGCAATATGTTGCTCCCTTTCCAAGGCCAATCCATACCTTGCTAATGGCCATCTAATTCCAGTTATGTGAATGATCCTTATATTAATTCACGGTTCTACAAGTTGCCCCAGTGCAAGGTAGAACTGCACCCTTGGAAAGAGTGTTGTTCAGCCCTTGGTTTTCTGGGAATGTGACCCTCAGGAACTGAAAACTGAGACTGAGTTGTGTATGTCCAAGGGCTGGAACCCCCTGGGAAATGCACTGGGAGTTGTGCCTGATGCCCACAATGCAGGAGGTAACTGGGGAAGTGCTAAATAAGCTCTGTGATGATCCTGCCCTTTTGCTGCTCCAATCTGATACCTGCCAAGTCTGCAGGACCAGAGTGGATTATCAGGCAGAAGTCTTTTATTCTTTGAGTTTAGGTTCGTTGGCAGGGTGGTTGGGGTTTTTTCTGTGCAATCAAAATAAACCTGGCAAAATCTGCACCTATTTTCTGAAAAAGGCTGGGGACTCTTTTAGTGAAATAACAAACTGTCTGGGCTTTTATAATCCACTAAATAGGGCAGCTGTTGTTGGAGTGGTGTTCCAGCAGCACCCTTTATTTCTTCTTAGAAAGGAGCTCCTGTGCTTTGCAAAGCTCTCCTCTTATCTGTACTCATCTGCACCTGATGCAGCTAATAAAAATGCAGCAGATTTCAGATTTGCATACATTAGTTTATAATTGCATGTTTCCCAGTGTAACCCACTGAATGTGTTTGTGTTGGGGACCATGTTGTGGAGGATGTGCTGATGGACATTTTGGATTTTCTCTGAAAAGTAGGTGCATTTCCTGCCTGAGGGAGCACTGGGCATTTCTGCTGTGCGCAGGAAGGAGGGCCAGGATTCCCAGACACTACACTAAAGACAGCTTATGCTATTTTTGCACTGTTTTTTCCCCTTATGCCTTTACCTTAGGCGCACTTCAGGCTCCTTGAACCTCCCAGAGGCTCTTGATAAAGGGATTGTATTTTTATCATCTGTCTGTAATGAATGTAAAGTCTCAGAGGCAGCTGCAGGAGGAGGGGAAGCACACACACGTGTATTGGCAAACAATTCTGCATATTGCTGCAGGCACACCTCCCTGTGTTTCCTTTGGTCAGGAGTTTTTCTTAAAGCTTTGAGGGAAACGCTGGATTTTGACATAACGATGTTTTGCTGAGGAAGGATGAATCCTTTCCACCTGATTTACCTTTGTTGTCTCTCAACTTCCACAGTGTTTTGTGTTGCTTGTTGGGGTTTTCCTCACTCCTCTCCTTGTGCTGGTACCTCCCTGACTACTTCCTTAGGCTGCACACCTAACACAGATGTTTCTGGCAACCTTTGGCAGTTCTAACACAGCAAATGTGCTGGGGTGGGAGTTGAAGGCAGCCTGGCAGGACTTGTTCTGCCTTGGAAAGAAGGAATCACAGCTCCTGGAAGCTCACCTGGTGGGTGAGTCCTGACTGGTGATGAAAAGTCACAGCCATTGCTGGTTCTCATAAAGGACAAGGGTATTGCTGTGTTCCTCTGTTGTGGCTATTTTAAAGATGCTTCTGCTAATTTGTTAAGACTCCTTATAGAATTTTCCAATCCATAGGAATACAATTAGCAGTAATAAGCTGAGCCTTTGGATAAAAGACTGTATGTAAAAAAGAGTGATTTCCTCCTCTGGTGCAGTGCCTGGGTAGAGCTGTTGCTTGCATGAGGAGCAAAATTAAAATGCAGCTGCCTTTTGCTTAGTTATTGCTTCAGAGGCAGCAAAACCAGGAGAGTAAGCTGGATTGTTTTTCCATTTAATCTTCTGTGCAATTGCTAATTAAGTCCCTATTGCTGGAGCTTTATTAATGCTAAAGATGTGAAAGGCAGAAGGAGCCTGCTAAAGATGTGAAAGGCAGTTTGATTTTTTCCAGCTGATGGCTGAATGTGAAGAACTGACCATTAGAAGAATGCTGTTGTTTCAAAATCTGGAATTACTGAGAAGCACTTGAATGCTAGACCATCATCTTCACACTGGCTTTTTGATTTATAACCCAAAGCCATTCCTGCAGCCTAATTGGCAGGCTGTTCTTAAGAGCTTTATAATCCAATTAACATCCAGAGCAGTAATAAGGCATTTGAGCAAATGGAGGGAATTTGTCTTTTGGTGACTTGCAACAGTGCATTTGCAGCAAAGGCTGTGAGGTGCTTGCTGTGCTCCTCTCCATGGTTCTGTGGACTGCTGGGCAGTGGGAAGAGAGCTGCCAACCCCTGCAGGAGATGTTGCACCTGCTCTGAGTGCTTCCCTCGAGGAAGGAGCCGTACTGTGCTCTAGGGGGGCATCTGTGGGTCACAGGGTGGTGCTGGCCACAGCAGGAAATGGCACAGTAAAATTTGGGGAAGGAGGTGCCTGAGTTCAAGGTAAGCTGAGCCCCAGGGAGGTGAGGCAGAGCCCGTGGCAGCGGCCGCAGGGCTGGGTTGGGCGCCTCTCTCTGTGCTACTGAGCAGCTCGTGGGGTGGGTGTGAGGAGCTGATTAAACATCTGAGCTTTCTTTCCCCCCTCCCTGCTTTTTGCAGCTCTCCATGAGTTCCCCAATGACATCTTCACCAACGAGGACAGGAGACATGGAGCTGTTGTCCTGCACGTCCTCTGTGTAAGTGTTGTGACTTTGCCTTTCTTCTCCTGCTGGCACGGACAGGGCCTTGTGTGCTCAGGAGCTCTGATTGAAGTTATTTTCTCTTCAGTGCATTTTCATCTCCTGGATGGACTGTGAAGTCAGGGATGTGATGCTTTTTGTTCTTGGGATCTTCTGATATAAAGGAGTCAATAATGGAAGGATGGTTTAAACTCACTTCTCATTTTCATTCTTTCTGTAGACACCATCAGAGCGTCAGGCCACAATAAAAAGAAAGTTGTCTCTGAAATTGGGACAGTTTGGCATCTTTAAGATGAAAACCAAATGTCAGAGAGCTAAAAGATACAGAGTTCTGCAAGAAGTAACTCTGGAACACTCTGAAGTTTATGGGATGGAATAATTGACATAGAAATATCCATGGCATTACATGGATTGGAAAGTTTGCTTTATCAGCTCTTTGAGTTACATCAGAGGCATTCTTAAACAGCCAAGAAAATACCTGCTCCTAATGAATGTTTAGAAGCTTTCAACAATTTTTAGTCAAATGCTTTTAACAATTTTTAGTCAGCTTAAATGAGCAGTCACCATTAGCTGTGAGAAGTGATTCATGATTTCTTTTTGAGCATAAATTAGATTGCATTGTGTATTTTAATGTGAGCCCTCTGTGTAAGGATTTTATTTTGGCTAAATAGCTGAAGAAATTTGTTGAGTAACGTTGCTATTGACCGTGCCTGGCAAGTTCAAGAATCTCAAGTTTCCATGGGAACATTGAGCTTTGAAATGTTTTGGAAACTGAGCACTGGACCCGAGCTGGATTTTATATCACCAACAAGAATACTCCTAAAAATTCATATATAAATTCAGTTGTGAGTGTGCCTTTAACATGTACCAAAATGGAGTCTGGAGGACTGAACTGTCTAGTTCAGAATAAAGAGAAAAATCTGTTTTTAATGAGAAGTAGAAAAGCATCCACTGTCCCAGCAGAAATATACTCAGTTCCTTCCCTGCTAGCAAACAGCAAGGCAGCTCCCTCCATCCACTGTTCCATGGGTGCTCCATTGTTCTCTGCAGCAGTTTGGTAGACTTGGGAAAATTTACTGAACACACTTTTGTCTTGTGGTCCTTGAGGTGCAGAACCTGGCTGGATTCAGCCTCTCCAGTACTGAGGTAGCTGGAGAAAAACTCTTGTCAAAGTAAAAAATTATATTCAGATAAAACAGAAAATGTTAGCATTTAACAGCCTGCCTCTAGTCTGGGTTGGAAGGGGTGCTCTGAACCTCCAGTTCTGTTTTTTACCTCCCAGAAATAGTTACCGAACGTGTGATGAAATCAGAGCAGAAGCAGAAATTCGCTTTTTAGGGGAAGGAGGATACAGACACAGAGTTTTTTTGCCTCTACTGAGGTTTCTTCGTGGGTTTGAGGAAACTGGACTGTAAAAGGGGCTCTGTAATGGTAGGGAGAACAATGCAGTGGTGATTAGGGGTCATCACCATGCTTCTCATGTTAGTGACCTCCCCTTACATAGTCTCTGTTCATTTCAGTAAAAATGTTGTTCTGCCCCTTTGCCTGTACTTTCATGTTTAATTCTGAAGGACATCAAGGCAAAGCTGGTTTTCCAGAAGCCAGAGGAATGGGACAAAAGCTATCACAGAGACCTTGGGAAGAGCAGGAGGCTTCCCAGGGCATCCTCTCCCTAATGTTTAATTAAAAGGGAAAAAAGATCCCAGCAAATCTTCACAGTGGGGCTGTGAGAATTACTAAACATGGTCTGATACTTCACAAAAATGAAAGTTAATCCCTAAACACTTGAAAAATGTAGGAAAAATGGGCAGGTCAGCAATAGTTTTAGGTCTGAACTGAAAATACTTTGGTTTGAAGGAGAAGTGGGCCACTGAGGCCATATTACAGGTTAGAGTTATGATGTTTAATTTCTCCTGGATACTTTTTCAGAGCTCAGCAGCTGACTGCTTCACTGCCATTCATCATTTCCATGAGGTGCTGAGTAACTCCCCACTAAGTCACTGGTTTGGGATGTTCAGTTTGGAGGGGCCTGGGTCTGGATTTTAAGTCTGGCGCTGTTCCTGCAGCCTGGGAGCTCCCCAGCACCCAGGGGCTTCTTTTTGCAATCTTAACATCACTGTTTGTAGAATCATAGTAGGTTGGATTGGAGGGAACCTTACACATGATCCCATTCCAGCTCCCCTGCTATGGGCTGGGACACCTCCCACTATCCCAGGGTGCTCCAAGCTTTGTCCAGCCTGGCCTTGGACACTTGCAGGGACCCAGGGGCAGCCACAGCTTCTCTGGGCACCCTGTGCCAGGGCCTCAGCCCCCTCACGGGGAAGAATTTCTTCCCAATACCCAATCTACTGTGCCCTCTGTCAGCATGAAGCCATTCCCCCTTGTCCTGTCACTCCAAGCCCGTGTCAAAGTTCCTCTCCAGCTCTCCTGCAGTCCCTTTGGGTGCTGGAAGGATGTGTAGGTGCTCTCTTAGCCTTTTACTGGGTTTCATTTTGTTCCTGATGTCCTCCTGCGGCTCTTCAGCCCTGCCATGCTCAGGGGCACTTGCACCAGTTACCCACTCCAGACAGGAGGGAAATGGCTTTGCTGAGAAATTCCCAAGGGGAATTTGAGAGAGAATGGGGGGTTTGGGTCTCTGCATTACCCTGGTGTTTTGACAGCACAGTGTTGCTTCCTCCTTTCCCAGCCTCCTCCAGCAGGTCTGGAGTGCAGAGCCAGGATATTTTGTCTTGCCAGCGTGAGGAGCCTTTGCATGGTCAGAGCTGAGCCTGTCCCTGGGCAGAGCAGGGTGGAGGAGCAGCGTGTGTGCTCAGCCATCCATCCCTCCTGCTCCTGCCTTGCCACTGCCTCCTGTAGCCATGGGAACAGGCTCTGACAGCCCCTGCCTCCCTCCTGCCAGCAGCTGGGGAATGTAGGTCGCCCTGGACGGGCCCTGTCTCTGTTTCTGCATCGGGTCAGTAGCCAGACACATCTCATTCCTGCAGCACAGGGCTGTCTCATTAGGGGGTTCATTTCCACAGTGCCCTGGCCGTCTGTGGGAGCACTGCTGGGCACATCATGGTGCACCAACTGCTGGGCACATCATGGTGCACAACCTGCTGGGCACATCATGGTGCACCAACTGCTGGGCACATCATGGTGCACCAACTGCTGGGCACATCATGGTACACAAACTGCTGGGCACATCATGGTGCACAAACTGCTGGGCACATCGTGGTACACCAACTGCTGGGCACATCATGGTGCACAAACTGCTGGGCACATCATGGTGCACAAACTGCTGGACACATCATGGTACACAAACTGCTGGGCACATCATGGTACACAAACTGCTGGACAGAGTCAACCCAGGCTCTGTGGCTCTCTGCTTTGGTTGGGGGTTTTTAATTTCCCTCGAGCAATGGAGTTTTAGGTGGGTTTGTCTCGGAATCTCTGCTGCTCAGAGTGACCCCAAGATGTCTTAGAAAGTCTCTTTTCCCAGCCCGGTGCATGAAGAAGGAGTCAGAACTCTTCTGTTCTCATTCTCAAGGTTGTTAATAGTTTCTTATCTATAAAATTCTTTCTCCTGGCTTGTCAAGGTCTACTCAACAGGTCAGACAGAGGCACTCTGGCCACCCCTGGGGCAGTGTTACCTTTTAATACTAAAAACTACATGTACATTATTTACAATAACTTCCCAATACCTATCACCTATGTTAGACAGTGAGCTTCTACTCTAAACCAATCTAAAAATGCCAACATCATCCAGAAGATGGAAGCTAGGAAAAAGAAAGAAGAAGGACAGGGCACGCCCAAATTCCTCCATTTTTAGGACCCCGAGCCCCCATTCTAAAAACCCCAAAAAAATTTATATTTTTCACCTGGTGACAAACTATTATTCTAATTAAACCCTTTTAACTTGTACTTTTTCATATAGGGGTTGGTAATTGTTTTTTCCAAGGGCTGAATCAAAGGCACAGGGGTCTTGGGCTCTGTGTGAAGGTGTCTGAGCCCCCCAGGGCCGCCAGAGGAATTTCCTGGGTTCCAACAGGTTTGTGATGCAGTCAGAGTTGAGAAGAGCCCTGTGCTTGGCTAAGGTGGTTTCAGGGGTGGCCCCTTGCTAGTCCTGGCCCCCAGGACAGGGTCTGTGGGGCAGCAGCAGACACCCCACCCCTGCTTTGCTGCCAGCAGCAACCCCAGCCTTTCACAGCCCCCTGGGGAGGAGGCAGGGCTGCAGGGATTGCTGCTTCCACGGCATTCTGCTCTCTTGTGAGAAGCTTCCTTCACTCAGTGAAGCGAGGTTGAGTGTGGAGACTGTCATGGGAAGCTCAAAGGACTGCTGGACAAACATGAAGAATGACCATTTCTGTGCTGTGCAGCGGAGCAGGTGTTTTGAGTAAGAAACTTAATCACCTTTGATGCAGAGATTGCATCTCTGTTTGTTAGAATTGTCATTTTAACATCAGTTCTAATGTGGTACTTAATCTGGCATTTATAATCCTTTTATGCAGAGCCATTGCATTTTCCTAATTTTTAATGTCCCTTTTGAGGGGGAGGAGGAGTGAGTGTGTTTTTTAAAGTGTGTTGCCTGCCTAAAGACTCCCATATCATCACTTAGAACTGAATGAAACTGGGGCTGAGCCTTATTTAGTGTGTTGAGTCCTCCACGTTGTACTCTGCTGCCATTGCACAGGCCATATTCCCTTACCCCAACCAATTCCTTAATTCCCAGTGGCACTTTCAGGTGGAACAGCCTTCAGTCTGTGCTGCCCTGCTCCTTTCCAGAGCTGCTGCTCCCATGATGCCCATGAAGACAGGGGGCTGTGTGCTGAAGGAAAAATCCATGTGATTCCATGGTGGAACCTCAGGATGACTTACTTGAAATCTCAAGATGTGATGTTGGCCCTCTCCTCACGGGACGTGCCATGCAGACTGACCTCCCTGATGCTCCTGCCTGTCCTCCCTCTTGCATAAAAAAGCCCCCTCCTGCCTGTGTTCCTGCTGGCCCAAACTCTAAACATTGCTTTGTTGTGTTTGTTTAAGAAGCAAGCAAACAAGCCCCACCAAAAAGCTCAAAGAACTTCCGAGGAAGTCACAGTGTCTATCCTCATGTGTTCACTGACTGTGGGCAGCTTCCAGTGATATAGGCTGTGAACAAGGCTGGAGTTTAGCCAGATACTCCTTCAATTCTGACACTTTGCACTTTATTGCACCCACTTGAATGAACTTAGGGAAGACTCAGAGCCAAAAGGAGATTTGTGACAGCAGTGAGGTCATTAAAGGGAATGCTGGAGTGTGCAGGTGCCGTGGGCTCAGTCTGGTCAGTGCACTCCGTCCTGAGGAGTGCAGTGGGTTTGCTTTAGTGCTTCCAGCTCCTGCAGCCGGGGTACAGTCCCCACTCCTGGGGGGATGAGCAAGAGCCTGGAGGGGCAGTTCCTTCACATTTATTTTTCTGTTCCTTACTCATTTCAGTGCCCTTTTTGCCTTTTGTCTTGTACCTGATCCTACTAATGAGAAAGCATGGGCAGACAAAAGCAAATTCCCTTGTCACCCTTGAAGGTGGTTGTTGTGCCCTCTCAAAACCTGGACACCATGAGATTCCACTTTGATGCTGGGATGTGGAGATGCTTTGGCAGTCTTGAGTGCACTGGAAGCGACACAATCCCTCCCCTGGGATCATTTGAATGTGCATCTAAAAATCCAGAGAAGGAATTGTCTAAACTGAAGAACTGGTGGCCCTGGTGCCTCTGTGAGCCCTGTGGAGCGTGGCATCATCTGTGGACACCTACAGTGCAAGGCAGTGCAAGTGTGGGGGCATCTGGGGTGGGCTACCTGGGCTCTGGGGCATGGGATGCTGCCTCCCCTTGGCCTTCACTCCCTTGCCTGCCTCTGGGAGGTGCAGGAAGCCCAGGTGGGTGTGGATTGTGTCAAATGGATAGGACATGCTCACTTTACAGGAATGATGCTGCTGGACAGATTAGCCTTCTTGAGAGGCATTACTGTGTGTTGGGGCAGGGCCCTGAGGGCATGACTCACTGCAGATTATTATGATCAGCAGATCAAAAATCTAAGCTGAAGTTAGGCACCCTTTATCTGTTATGTTTCAATGGAATTTGGCCACATCACTCTCTGGAGCCCTTTCTGATCCTTGTTCCTATCTTCCTTTATCTCTGTTGATACAGTTGGTATTGTGTCAGCAGCTGGTGCTCCCTTTGCAGGATCAGGTTCTTTGCTGCACCCAACAGAGTTGGAGACCTGGAATTTTGCTTACTCTTGTGGTCCTTGGGGCTGTTTTGCAGTAAGATTTTCAAAAAGCCTGAGTTACACTTACTCATGCTTATGATGAGGGACAAAGAAGCACAGAAACTATCCAAGTGACATTCTAGCACCTGTTGTGTCAAGATTGTGCCAAAATAATTTATGATGAAATTCCCTCTCTAATCCTGAAAAAAATACACTTGAGTTATTTTTGAACTCGAAAAGTTTTCATGGCCGAGATGTACAGTAATTACTGCCTTTTTTGCAGCAAACTTGTAACTCTGGCAAATTAGAATCTGTGTTTTTGGTGGGGCTGGGGGATTTAAACCTGTTCCTGGAAAATCAAAACAAGAAGAAAAGAAAAAAAACTGGAGGCCATTTTTATTGCTGCTTTCTCTCCAGAAAAAAAATACTCTGGTCTCCTTGCATTGCCTGAGCTTCTGCAGGACTCCAACAACAAGCAAAGCCTGTTGGTGATGTGCTTGGAACTGTAGTTCCCTAGGATTAATACACCATTTTTCTACAAATATTGGCCACTTCTCTCAGCTGTAGTCAGTCACTGGAGCTGCACTGCTTGTAGAAGTAACTCTGGAGTGAGCTCCTTCCCTGTGGGCAGGATGGGCCAGGTTGCCCTCCAGGGCTTTGCTGTGTGCATGTGAGCCACACTGTGCTGTTTGCTTCTTGGGGCAGAGATCAGGCACCAGCACAATCTGTTTAATAGTACAGAAACCCAGATTAAATGCTTCTTGCATGAAATTAAAGAACTGATTGGCCCAGTGTCTTTTCGAGTCCTGTGTTCCCCCTTGGTTATATTTTTTCCTATGTGAAGTTCAGCAAGATTTACTGCTGAGACCTAGGTGACATGGCAGGGCACTTCAGTCCAGAAAAAAAGCTTCTTTTCCAGAACACTAGATTTCAAAAATTACCCCTCCAGGGTTTAGATTTTTACAGAACACAGTGATAGAAAAGCCTTGCACTGCCCAACAGGGAAAAAAAGGAAGGCGAAAGTACTTCAGTGTGGCTTAGTAATGTCCAGAGTAAAAAAAAAGGAAAGCAAAAATATTTTTATGTGGATTAGCAATGTCCAGAGAATTAAAAAAAAGAAACCAAAAAAACAGCAGCCTTTATGGTGAAGATAAAATATTGGCAGCTTTTGATAGTTTATAAGAACTTTCGGGTAAATACTCCATGATCTTTCAGTTAGATCCCAGACAGCTCTATGAGTTCTTCTTGCAAGAACATTTTATTTTCTTGCAAAGTCTGTACCAAATGAAACCTGGGATGGGTTGGGATGCTGCCACTCAGTTGTGTGTGACAGTCTCCAGACTCAGCCCTCTCTCTCCTCCCTTGCAGGCTGTGTACATGTTCTACGCCTTGGCAATCGTCTGCGATGACTTCTTCGTCCCTTCGCTGGAGAAGATCTGTGAAGTGAGTGTTAGATGTTCTGTTCCTTCCTCTAGTGCTGCTTTCACAGCACTTCTGGAGAGCCTTGGGCTGTGTTTAAGGTGTATTTATTTGCTGTTGTCCTGCAGTGCTGCCTGTGCTGCTTGTCTTGCTGCTCAACATGACGTGTGTGCGTGTTGACTCAGCTCTGTGTTCTTCCTCGCAGGACAGGCTCTCCAGGTGCTCCAGGCATTCCCACTGGGGTGGTTCTGCTGCCTCTTGTTTGTGTGTCTTTGCAGATGTCTCTGCAGAAACACCAGGCCCTAGCCTTAGCTGACAGAAATTAAAAACCTCTGGTGATTTATCCCGGTAGAAATCCATGGATCTTGTACCCTGCCCTCACAGTCATGACTGTCAGACCTTGTGTTGTGTGGGTGTGAGTTGTAAAGCAGCAGGGACAGCTAGGTCAGCTGTAAAGAAGCTTGTGAATGCTTCCAGCAATTACAAGGGACTCTGTTTCTCTTTGGTAAGGTCAGGATGCCTAAATTTTAGAAGACAAGGAGAACATTTTTGCCTAAATCAGCTCGGACAGCCACAGAGCGAGCACAGACCATGTGCCCAAAATTACTGCGAGCCATATCTGCTGTCAGTTCCAGCAGTGAAATCTCTGTGAGGGGAGAACATGGCTGGTTTTGGCACTGAGAGGTCTGTGCCATTTGTAGAAGACACCTGTCCATGTGCCTGGGAACAAGTGTCACCCGTCAGGGCGTGGGCTGTGCTGGCCCTGGGAGAGGTGTGGGAGCTGACAGGGCAAATAATTTGTGCTCACAGCACTGATGGAGGCTGTCTCCAAACTAATCTGATATTTGAAGTTCAGCACCCTGCTGTGTGGGCCTGTTTTTGCATCATCAAAGAAAAAAGCCCCCAGGAAATTCCACTTTTGGTGCTTAAGTATAGAGGTAACTGAAAGGTAACAACATAAGGCAGGAGCTTCTGTCCTGCAGAGTTGCTGCACCCTCTGGGGCTGAATCTGGGGAACGCCATTGCAAGGTTCAGGAGAGGGAGCACTGGTGTGGGAGTGGGGATAGGAGATGCTGGGGGATGTGGACACACTGAGTTCTTTGACTTCCTCTCTCCCAGGCAAGTGAACCTGACTGGGAACTGTGGCTCTAGAAGCTGGCTCAGGTGTCTGTGGGTGAACAAAACCTGAGCTGAGTGAGCAGTGTCCAGGAGAGGCTTGTATTTTGGGGTGCTGTCAGTATGCCCAAGGGCAAACCACCCTGCCATGATGTCAGCACAGCTGACTGGTGGCTGTGCCACCTTGGCTGGTGGCTTTGCTCTCAAGAGGCACCACCATGAGTTCCAGCAGCTGTTGTAGGATGGATGTCTCCATAGTTTCACAGAGCATCCTGCAGAAGAACCTGGCCTTTGAGGATCTGCCGCTGGTCCTGTGAACTTCTTTCACAATAGTTTTAATCCTGTTTAAAATAGTTTTCCATAAATCTGTATTTTATCAGGTTAAACAAGCTTTATAGCACTCCAGCATTGCTGTGGTCTTCTGCTTCAAGGGCACTCCTGGTGAGGGCACATCCTGTCCTTTTCCCTTGTCCCCATAATTTATGTACAAAGGGTTGTTACCTCTGTGTGGGCAGTGGATAGAGTTACCCTCCCTCAGGGTTGAGGAATACCCATTGTGGAATCTTCAGAAAAGGCTGCTGTGAGCATTTCTGCTCTTGTCTCCGTGTAAAGGTACTCAGGCAAGAATGAAACAGCAGAGGAGCCCTGCAGTGTGCAGGGGAATGGGGACAGAGGGAGGTTTGCTGTGTCCTGCCAGGCTGGGGGGCTGCCTCAAAAGCCAGCTCTGCCAGGGACACTTCCCACCACCCTGAGCTGCCTTCCCCATGCTCCTGGGTGCCTTTCCTGTGCTCCCACAGTGGCAGCTGCTGCCTTGGTGTAGTAACAGCTCAGGGTGGTTGTTGCTCCTCTTCAGTGCCTTGTGGCATCTGCTGAGCAGATGCAGTTGGGTGCTGGCTCAATGGGAGCTGGTGCAGATGGAACAGTGGGAGTGCAAACACAGAGGGTGTAATTAAGCAAGGAAACCTTTGGAAGCAGCATATGCTGATGAAGTTTTTGTAGAACAGTGGGTCCTTTCCCTTCCAGAAGCCCCAGGTTTTAGACAGCCCCTGGGTACTGCTGAGGGACAGGGACAGGAGGTCAGTGATGTAGTCCAGGAGAAAGGGGGTGAGGAGAGGGTAAAGCAAGGCATAACTTGTGCCAGGGAAGGTGGCTGGAGGTGAATGAAGCCTGAGCCCTAGCCCTGCCCTTTACAGGTGAAAGTGGGAAAGATGAGGTGTGTGGTGCTGGGGTTGTGGAGCACACAGACCCATGAGTGGTGAACCTGCCTTCCCTGTTGGCTGCAGTGGTGACCTTCCCCTCCTCTCTAAAAGTGTCACTGGTCACATAACCTGCCCTCTGCCAGGTGATGCTCACTTCAGTAGCCAGGGCCTGTGGTGGCTTTTCCCCTATACTTAACCTTTGTTTACACAAAACTTTACAGGTACCCACTCTCAGCAGGCAGGTTAATGTTGGGAGAGAGATTCCTTGAGCTGCTTAGTGTGCTAATCAGTGACTGCATTTCTCTGCAGCGCTTGCATCTCAGTGAAGATGTGGCTGGGGCAACTTTCATGGCAGCAGGAAGCTCTGCTCCTGAGCTCTTCACATCTGTCATAGGTAAGGAACCTGCTGCTGCTTATGGGAGGTGTGATGAAGGGATTCAACCATCCTTAAGTTGCAAAACCTGGGAAACTCTCAGTGTCCCCACAGCAATGGGAAAGTGGGACTGCAGGCAGTGTTACAAAGTGATGTTCTACCCAACCACATCAAGAGGGTGAAGTGTTCCTGCTGTGAAGCTGTGTGCTCTGCAGAGGTCTGATTGCACAAGCAAAGCCTTATCATTTGGGGACTTAAGTTGCACCAAGTTGGGATTGTCCTTTGGTTAAGGGTAGTGCAGCACCAGGGTGAAAATAAAACCAGATTCCTTCAGGTGACTTAGAGAAGCCCTGATGGTCACCAGGATCATTTTCCTGCTGTGGTGTAACCAGCCAGGTGCCCTGTTCCACTTGGCAGGTGAGGGCTTCTGTGTTTCTGAGAAAAGGTTGAAGTTGGAGAAAATATGTGAACTGGTGTTGGAACCTTAAAAGCAAGAGGTGAATTTAAGCAGACTGACAGCTAGCAGGAGATGGAGTGTTATTTTTAGGCTGTCTTCCTAAGGAAAGGATTTTGTGCAGCACAGTGATGCATGTGTGTGTCAGTTCATCTCCCTCACCATTAACCTCATTGGCCAATTTTAACCAAATTTGACAGAAGAGCTCTGAAAAAAAGCTTGTAGCATAGCCCCATAACTCATCCTGAGAGGCTTGTGAGTAGCTGTGGCCAGACAGCTCTGAATCATCTCCAGCTTCTACTGAAGCTTCATCCCACTGAAGCCAGTTGGGATGGGGATATGGGAAGGAGCAGAATACTGCTCAGGGAATATCTTAGGGGAGACAGCTTCCTGTGGATTTGTGTCCCACCAGCTGCTACCATGAGCTTGCAGTGTTTTGTGGTGTGAATTGCCATAATGTTGGGTCACAATAGCAGGAAGTTCATAACTTGGATGTACTTGGTTTCCATCACACAATCCATTCAGGCCCCCTCAGAAAACAACTCTCTGCAGTTTGCCTTTACAGTCATTAATAGGGTATGAGGTCTGCAATTTTATGTGAAAAAAGTCAGCTCTTTCCCATTTACACAGCTTCTCTTGAACTTGTTTTTCAGGTGTTTTCATCACAAAAGGAGACGTGGGCGTTGGAACCATCGTGGGCTCGGCTGTGTTCAACATCCTCTGTATTATTGGTGTGTGTGGGCTTTTTGCAGGACAGGTAAGAGCATTTAATGATTCCTTACAGTTCTTGCTTCACCCTGTGCCTTGGCTGTATTGCAAAATCAGATGCCAGGTTCATCACCTTGCCACAAATTTCTCTGGTTTTGCTGTTTTTAATAGAGCCCTGTGCTGTTCCTCCTGCATTTTTGAAATGGAAAACAGCAGCAGCAAAGGTCAGCTCAGGCATTTTGAGCTGCCCAAGGTGTGTGGGTGGGCAGAGGAATAAATGTTGGTTGTTTGCTCCTCGTGTAGTTTGTGACTGCTCTCCAGCGTGTCAAACCACTGCTGACAACACAAGCTATTCATCTGAAATTAAAGCAATTAAGCTGTGAGATCTGAGCTGCTGTCTGAATTGCAGACATGATTGACTGTATAATTAAATACCTGAATCTGCATTTACCTTCACACTTGCCAACATGCCAAGTGTTTTTACAATCTCATAAATGTTCTCTGGCGTGTTACTGTGCAGACTTATTTGTAAGGAGGAGAAGCAGAGTCATGTTACCAGCACAGGGCAGTGGAAGAAGAAGACCTTGGTCAGTGTGGGAAAGCACGCAGAGAGATGGGGTTTTCCTTATGGTCCAGTTCTGTTTTCCTTATGATTCAGTTCTGTTTTCATTAGCAGGGAAGTTCTGCAGGCTGAAGGTGAACATTTTCAGTGTGAGGAGGCCTCAGGATAAGGTCACAGCAGTGCTTTTTAACCACCCACGTGCCCTGATTTGCATGCAACATGCAGCTGGCAGCTGTGTGTGTCAGTGGTTCTGCCGTAACTCTTACTGTGAAAACCCAGTTAATTGAGGTAAATTTTTAATGACCAAAGCCTTCCCAGGGCACGAGGCTCTGCTCCCCAGAGGTATTCTCATGTCATCAACAGGACTTCCTTCTCAGGCTGCTTTTTTCATGCAAATGAAGGTGATTAACTGTCTAGCAGTTAATGATAGCAGAGGAGCCAATTCTGATTTTTATTCTCCACTGTACTGATTGCATGCCTCAAACCTGCTAAAAATTGGCTACAAACCACAGCTTTGGAAAAGACCTGCTGGAGTTTGGGGCTTGACAGAGAATGTCAGAATGTCAGAGGCCTTTTACAGGTGGGAGATTGTTGTTTCAGAAGGATAAATCACAGCCAAAATGCTCTTGTAAAACATCTTCAGCCGTGGTAGCTTTCAGAAGTTCAAGTCATCCTAAACATAGCCTGTGAGTTTCTTTCAAGCCAGGCGTTGAGATTTTGACTGCTTTGCCCCATCTTTGTTTTCCTTGGGACTCTGCTGATGATTTGTGTGTGGTTTTGTCAAGTCACATAACCCCTCTTTGCTGCAGTCCAACCCTCAGAGGGTGGGTGAGCACTGGAATGACTGACGTCACCGTGTGGAGCTGTGATTTTAGTGAGCAAATAAGAAATGTCAGTGTCAATAATTGCAATGTTTTAGATAAAACTCTGGATCAGTTCATGCTTTTCATTGTTTCCCAGCCTTTCACCAAAAAGTCATTCCCTCTTAGTGGTGTGATTCATCATTTGCTTTGTGTTAGTATGAGTAGGAGTTTGGTTTTATTGTCAACAGTGTCTCTACAGAGGCACTAACATAGGTGGTAAATTTGGTTGTTGGTGGGATTTCTGTTCTGCTGAGGACTTGGATCTCAGTAGTGTGTTGCCAGGTGAGTCTGGGGTTGGTCACAGCTGCTTGCTGTGCTCCAGGATTTTTTCTTTGAGCTCAGACCTGTGGATTGAGCAGCTGGAGCCCTCAGAATTTCAGATGTATTGCCCACGGACTGGGAATCCCAGAGGTCAGACCTGCAGGGGCCTTCTGCTGTGTTTCTGGTTTTTATTTTATTTTTGACTAGTAAACAGTTGAATTGTAAAATACTGTCCAGCCCTCTGCAGGATATGTTTTATTTTTAAATTAGGTTGTAGTTTGTATGTGCTGTGTTGGATGTATTCTTCTTTGGCCTAAGAAAAGACTGGGCTTGGTTATGTGCACCATGTCTAGAAAAAGAAACAAATGCACAGCCCCAAAAAACTGGCATGCATTTGCTTGAGCACCAGCCCTAATTGTTTATTCTTCCAAGCCTTTGCTGGCTGTATGCACACACTTTTCAGGGTAAATCAGAATAAGCATCCCACTGCTGGAACGGGAGAAGGGAAGCGTGCCCACGCCTCTGTGTGAACTGCACACCTAAAAAAGGCATTGAAAGAGCATTGTGAAGGCTGAAAGTCAAACACTGCAAAGTTATAAAATAGCAGTGTGAGGGTTCCCTGTGCACCCTTAATTTGCCCCCCCAGTGTGTGTGCATTATTATCCAGGCTTTAATTACGGAGTCTCTTGCCGGGATCTCCACGGGCTCCCTGCCTCCCTCTGCACACAGAACGGACTTTGCTCACTTAATGAGCAAATATTCAGGATTTTGTTTTCTCTTATTGTTCACTCCGTGCCCTTCTGCCTTATTTACCAGGCTCTATTCAAGCCCTGTTCCAGAGGCAGAATTATTAATTTCCTCTTGAACTTCTGCCGATCTCGGCGCTATTGTATCTGAGCAGTTGATGAGCAGTTAATTAATCTTCCCCAAACCTCTGTGAGATGAAGGGATGCTTTAAAGATGGGGAAACAAAGCACAGAAAGATTAAATAAAAAAGAATAACTTGTCTTTTTAGGGGCCAATTAGAGCTGGCACAGGCCTGCTCTTTCCCGTGGTACATAGGATTCTGTGGCATGCTCGTGGCTCCTGGTGCTGCTCTTGCTGCTCCACAGGGCTTTCCAGCAAGGCATTGGTTTGGATGGCCATGTCAGTCTGCACACAGCCCAGCTCTCCTTGGGAGCACTCAGGTCCTTGAGCCATATGAGCCCCTCTTCTTCTCCTCACTCCCACCTCCTTCCACAGGGCACACACAGAATGCCTCTGTCCTGAGCCCTCATCCCCAGGACTGTTCTTGTCTGGAGCTAAGCAATGACTTAACTACGTCTCCTAACATTTAGTGGTTGCTCTTGCCAGTGTGGTGGTGATGGTGTTCCTTCTCCCTCCAGCTCTTGAGGCCTGAGAGGAAAACTTTCACCAGATTCCTCCCTTGGGTCATGCATCCACCCGTAGCAGCTTTCTTCCAGTGGTTTTGATTCCTTCTGCTCTCCCCACTCCTCTGCTCTATGTCTCCTTCTCCTGGCTAATGTTAGCCATGCCAGGCAGGCACCTCTTGAGATGCAGGAGTCTGCTCTGCAGCCAGGGAAATAGTATTTTCCACTGTTTTCATTTCCTCCTGAGATTTTGGATTGGAGGAATTAAAAAAGCAACAGTGGATGCAGGCTGCCCATGTGTTTGATGGCCAGACAAGAGCCATCCCCTAAATGCTGGGTTTTCTAAAGTAGCATCCACACTCTGAAAATCAGAGCTTTCAAATATAGCTTAATCTGGGCCTCTGCAGAAGCAGAACTTCATGTCTAGTGTGTGTTGAAGTGTTTGATCAAGGCATGTTTGGAGAGAGAGCTCAGGTTTTCCCTGTGGATAGTGAATGCTGCCCATGTGCCTGTGGCAGTGAACCTTAGAAGCTCCTCCTGCTTTCTTCTTGCAGCCTGTTGAAATACTCTGCATAGCACTCACACCCAGAGGAGGATTTCTTTTTTTTCATCCAGGCAGTAGATGCAGCTTCTAAGCTGTAGATGGTTTCAGGGTATGGAAATAAGTTAGGAGCTGTTCTCATTCCTCACTTGTGCAGTGCAGGCTGGATGTGTCTGCAGCTGTTTCCTCCTATGTCCCCACACCTTGGACACCAGCGCTTCTCCTTGCAGGTAGGCAGCTGCTAAGGCACATAACCCAGCTGTTGTTTTTCAGCTGCTGTGTCTGCTTTGCTTCCTTCTGGCAAAAGGGGCAACAAGGAGGTCAGGGAACACGGAGGGAGAGTGAAATGGCAGCAGACGCAGCCCTTCAGTCAGTAGTCCAGCAGCATTCACGGGGACACAGGCTGGATAGCGGCGAGGAGGCTGCTGTCTGCCTTGTGATGGATTGCATCGGGCTTTTTCCATGCTTGCAAGCCAGCTGTGTATGGGGAGCTTGACCTTAGCCTGGGGTCCCCTCCAGGCCTTGGTTGAGCTGTGCTGTCTTCTCTCACGCTCGTGTTTGTGCTTCCCAAGCCCTCCCTCCTTCCCCTGCCCTCTCACCGTCCTTGGCGGCGAGGACGCGGCATTCTCGGAAGCCGTCCTTGCTTCATTCAGCTCTCATTCAGGCCAGCACAAGCAGAGCTTGTTCCCTTTTGGACATTCCCCCATCCAGATTCTTCTTGTTTTCACAGCTCTGCTGCTCTCTCCTCGCCATGCTGTCCTCCCAGCACTGACCCACAGCGTTTTGCAGTGCTGCAGAGGAGGCTGAGAAGTGCTTATGTGCTTAACCATGAGTTGCAGGTCACTCCAGCATTACCATGTCATTTTGAATGTGCATGGCTTGATTTGTTAATTAGTGTTTAATTGCTCTGATTTTCAGTTGAGTCAAAGTTTCTCTATTTCACCTTTCCCCAGAAACAGACAGGCTTCTGTGGGTGGGGCAGGGGACCAGGAATGCTGGCTTGTGCCACAGATCCTCTTCCAGTTATTGGTTCTGTCATGGGGCATCATTCCTCAACATACTGGAGCAGAAAAGGATGACAGTGACTGTCTGACCTGCCTGCTTCTTTACCAGTGGGATTCTTTTACTTCAGGAATTAAACTAATTTCAGCAGGCTCTCCTTTGTCCAGGTCACAGAATGCTTGTGCCAACCGAGGTGCCTCTAGGAATTATCAGCTGCCATGGGTTATGTCAGTGGAAAATACACCTGTGTTGACCAGGACACTAAACAGAGTTTAATAACCTGGTGGAATGTTTTTTAACGAAGCAACTGGGACTTCTGTAATCTGTTTTACCCCACTTCTGCCATTCAGCCAGCTTGCATGCCTCTTAATCTTTTAAGCTTTAATTTCACTCACAACTCAGACTGCAGCCATTACGGACTTTGGGCTTTGATTGCATTCATGAGCTTTT